GAGTCAAAAATGTAGGCAGTGAAATGTTCAAAAAATTTGCCGACTTAACTTCTGCAAACCGACTTCCTCTTTCTCTTCAAAAAAGTAGGCGGTGAAATGTCAAAAAAATTTACCGACTTAAGCTCTGCAAACCGACTTCCTCTTTCTGTTATTATATATTTTGATTTCAAACAACAAATAAATTATTTGGCTTCCTCGCTGGGTCTCAGTATCGGTGTGAAGTGGAAAAACAATTGTCAATGTTAGTTTTCTTTTTCCTGCATCATTGTCTACATGAGATTCTACGTTTCAATTGTAAAATAAAGCCTTTTGTGATGTTCTGTTTGACATATCTCCAATTAAATGTATTTAACTATTGTATAATAATTTCTTGATCATGAGACTAACACCTTTCTACTCATATTAATTTCCATGTGCTTATAGGAAGCCAACTAAGGTAGTAAATACGTAAATCATCTAAAATAGAAATGAATTCCTCTTTTGTCGTTAGTCTTCGCCTTAGTTAGCTCTGCAGATTTTCGAGAATAATTGGAATAAGAAAGTGTTGTAATTGCATGAATATTTAGTTGGAACTATTCTGTTTTGCCCAATTTTAAATATTAAAAAAAAAAATTCCGAACTTCCCGTGCGCACACGGGGAGAACTGATCTCCCCGTACGCGCACGGGAGTTTGTTTCTCCCTGTGCGCGCACGAGGAGAAGCTTCGCGACATTTTTTTCTTATTTTTTTGACCAAAAAATCTACTCATTTACATTTTATAAAAAATATAAATATAATTTCACTCTATACGTACATAGAATCAAAATTTCATTTATTAATAATTTAACACAGAAAAATTAGAAAATATTTGCAATACATACATAAAAAACAAAATAGCTTTAGGGGGCGTTGCCCCCAAGCCCCCACGAGGGGGGTTGCCCCCTCGACCTGACCAGACAGGTCGATCCCCGTCGAGGATCGATAACTTATTGGTTTTCCAAGCCGTCGACCACATTATTAATTATGCTGCAAAATCAAATTATATGTCAGCCGGTCAGATATCATTGCCTATTGTTTTCTAACGTTCAAATGGTGCTACTGCTGTTGTTGGAGCTCAACATTCCCAGGTATGAGTTTCATTTCGTCCGTCATTATTTTCTTAACAATATCATGCTTCATGCTTTGGATCAAGTCCTATAATCTTTTGTTAACATCCAATGAAGTGTTCTCTTATTTTTTCTTTCTCGTTTGTACTGGTAAAAGGAGTATGTCCACAACAATACTTTCTTTTGGTGGGAAAATTAGCTCAGTTTTTAAATTATGATAAAACTATAATAAAAAAAAACAAAAAAAAAGAAGGTAGTGCACCTGATGGACTATTTTCACTATATTTTTCCAGAAAAAAATTAGTCTCCAAACATCTAGAACTTGTCTCACTGCCTATATTAACAATACTTCATGTGTATTGTAGACAACATTATACTCTATAAGGATAATAAAGAAAGTACTGGACCTAGTAGAAAACTTTGTTAATGTTGCTACTGATTTGCTTAAAGAAAGGCACTGTGGAGTGTTATTAACTGGAGTCCAGCTTTGTGCAGATGTATGTAAAGTCAATAAAGAGGTTCTTGAGAATTTTAGAAAGGTAAGTAGACAATTACTCAGTCTTTATGTCCTACAATTATTTATAAGAAGCTAAAATATAGCGAAATGATGCCTCAATTAAATTGTAAGATGAGATTTCCTTATATTCTATTGGAATAATTCTCGTAAATAAAGTGTCTTAAGGTATTATAATTTGTGTTAGTATAATAAATTCTAACGTACATGATATGTTGAATTTGACATATCTAATTTTATATTAGATTGAAATATATTAACCTTATTGTTGTATACATATCGCTTATTAAACGTGTCAATCTTTAATTTTGGCTTCATCTATCTAGCTATGGTTTTACATCTTACTATTTTGATCCAGTTGAACTTCTCTACATCTATTTGCTTTTTTATTGCACATTCATTTATTCAGAGATGGATGGTTGAAAATTATTTCCAACAAATATTTGTTCAAAATGTAATTCATGATAATTCAACACATTTAACACACTAATAGTACTTTCAAAATAACTCAGCCCGTGCAAATAACTAGTATTTTAGAAAAGCTTCAAATTTGAGCTTCTTTGGACCACGACCAAACAATTGCATTTATAGAGAGAAGTGTTTTAACCTTCTAAAAGTGTTTTTTGACTGCTAAAAAGCCCTCCCAAACACACATACACCTAAACCAAATTGAAATTTACTGTACAAGTGAACAATGACAGTACAAAAAGTTACAAGTTGTGTTCATGGTAAATGGTAAGGTTGTGTTTATGATATAAAGATAGCATGCTACTTTTACATGGAAAAGTAACAAAGAATGTGACTTTTTAACTTGTACGTTATTTTCCCAATATAGAGATTCATACACGGTCATCACTAGCCACCATACACCATAAATGTGCCATTAGGGTGAAGCCATAAAAGTAAATAAAGTGAAATATACATAGTGGCATGTCTGGTTACTCTGGTAAAGGAAAAATGATCATCACAAAGGAAGAAGCATGAGCATCAAGCCATGAACCTAGAAACCTGCCAAACTACATATGAGTCTAAATATGTACACTTAACACTTCATCATATCATATGTACAAAAACTACAGAGTTGAATCAAAGATCCAAGTTCTTACGAGGAAAACAAAGGGGAAATTGGGCGGCGGGGAATGTAAGATGAATCTTGATTCCATACAACAAAATGGGGAAAATACAGGGTAACAAACTCTTTCATGAACCTATCTCCACAAAAATCTGAACAAGCGCTAAAGATGTGTGGATTACAAGCTTGGTAACATACACCCTACAGTCCATCCAATAAAAAACCCGGCGCTAACAAGACCCAAACCCAATGCAAAAATGACTGCGTATCTGCTAATATCGTGTTGAGGACGAGATTGTTTACCTTGTTTTCCCCTGCCAGACTTATGCCAGCTATTTCGCATTTTCTTAGTTTTTTGAGGCACCAGTGGTAACTTTAGGGGGAAAATGGTGGATATTGGCTGGCTTTTGTTGTTCTTGATCTGGAAATAAATGTTCTCAAGCTGCAGAAGTTGGAACCACTGCTTGTAGGCGAAAAGCTGTGATGCCTGTCTAAAGACCAGCTGCACAATGTGTTCCTTCTCGGCGCAAGCTCTTTTTGCAGCTTTCTCGGCTTCCCGGGCACGTGTCTGAGAGTGACATAATGCTTCCAGTAGTTGGGCCTTGCTCTGATCATTCTCAGAATTATGCATCTCAGGCATCCATTTGTCGGTTGGATTGTCACTGTTTTTCATGTCACAAATTAGTTAACCGTGACAATACGTGAACTTTCATCACAATATGTGATGAAATTAGCAAAAACGGAACAAATGAACGAAAGTTAGAGAACAATTAAAATACAAGAAATATAATACCTCGATCGCTTATCTGAACTTGACAGTAATTCACCTTCAGCTGACAACCTATGTTTCTTGTAAGGAATTTCTGCAGAAAAGCTTCCCGGTACATGACTAGTTAAATTGTAGCAACTTTCAGGTTTCGGGTCTAATGACGAGGTGTCAATTCCGTCGGAACCAAAACAGCATAAATTAACGTTTACGTCCTTCTTGTCATGAATATGCTGAGGCTGGGGAAGATCACAATTCCCTATAAGGTCAAGAGATCTATGTGCAACCAATACAGCCAATTCTTCTGTATCTGCAGTTCGCCACCACGGGTCATTTTTCTTGGCCGCTATCCAAGAACCCTCTGAATCAAAACAAAACTCATTGGATTTCTTTGAAACTTCACGATCAACAGCACCTATGTTTGTTAGTTCACTCTGATCCTCGGTGTCTTCAAGCTTTAGAGGATCTTGGAAATTTTCAGTATCATTAACTCTAAAATCTTTCTTTTCAGAAGTTGGAAAGATTCTACACTGATTATCTCGGATGGATTCTACATGTCTAATTTGATCTACAAGGCCAGCATCATCTTCATTACGCACATGGACTCTGGAGCTATCAAAAGTGCCACAGGTTTCCATATTTGCCTCTGAGGCATTAAACTGCTCGTTCATCAAACTGTTTTGATATCCATAATTTGGTTGATTCTGTAACCACCATCTTGAATTAGGGGATAAATTGGAATACGAATAGTTCCGATTAAGAGGCAGACAACCTATGCTCGGAGTATCTTGGCCATCAGCTACGCCACCGGGTCCTGCATCGAAAGGCTTAACAGACGGAGATGCAGACGAGCAGCAAGCTAACTTCGGAGCTCTTTTGGCATCTTCCTGGACCAAGCATCGGTTTGCCGTTCTCTGCCAAGCAGCCCTAGCTTCTGCCAGTGCCATCACTCACCCATTCTTCAGCAAATTTTATCACCCAAAAACAGATCTCTCTCAGATTTGTATAATTATAAGGAAAAGTTTTTGCAATTGAAAAAGACAATTAAAATATTATAAGCATAAATTTTATAGATTTACAACAATTCCACACTGCAATAGAGAGAATAGATATTGTATACCGTCCTCAGACCAATAAGCAATTCATCAATACAATACCATCTGCAATAGTGTACGCCTTGAAAATTTTATCTATAATACTCTCTAATCCTCTCCACTACTGCTTATCAGAGATGATCTACGAGTCTCGTATGTCCTTAATCATGACCCCACTTACATATCCTTGATAACCTTAATTTACTCACTTTTGACTCTCTCTCTCTTTTAATCCAAGAACCACCCATAAAGTATATGGTGCTTATCCAAAACCTGCAAATGTACTCCAAACTGGTCTTTTCAACACTTTCCACAAATTCAAGCCAAAAATTGCATAATTCTATCATTACTTTCAGAAATAGTTACAGACAGCGTTCTTCATATTCAATATTAAAAAACCAAAAACTAAATAAGTAATCACAACCCTTAAAATTCTTTCAATAATTTATAGAACACAGAGCACAACTTTCTATCCAATAACAAAAAAAAAAAAAAAAAA